AGTGAAGTGAAGTGAAGTGAAGTGAAGTGAAGTGAAGTGAAGTGAAGTGAAGTGAAGTGAAGTAAATGACATTACGCATCCATGACTATTGGTTTCCTTTTGTTTGTGTTTTGGGTGTTGTATTTTTTTTCTTACTCTCTCTGTAATTGTTGTTTTATTTGTTGCAGTTGTTTGTATTTCTCTGTAATTGTTGTAGTTGTTAATCGTATTTGGTTTGTATTCACTGTGGTAGGATGTCCTTATTGTTGTGTTTTGTGTATTGTGTTTTGTTTGAACGTGTTGTCACTTAGTGTAATGTGTGTTACTTGTCTGTTGTGTCCTATTGTGTACTACTCCCACCGGGCTAAAACCTAATTGCAGTATAATATATCTTTTCCGTTCTAGATTTGAATTTGGCGTATTATCAAATTCCCTTGTCTGCTAATAGTCGTAAGGCTACGGCCTTCTGTACCCCTTTTTGACCTTCGAGTTTGCTAAGTTGCCCATGGGGATAAGTGTCAGTTGCAAATTCCTCTCTCGAGTAGTTGATTCACTGTTTGGCGATCTCACGTATAAGTTCGTCTACAATTTTATGGACGATTTAGTAGTCTACTCTAGTTCCCTTGAAGAGCATCTTGGTCATCTGAAGGAAATTTTTGGTAGGCTAGAGAAAGCTGGCTTTACTCTAAACCAGGAGAAACTTCGTCTGGCTCAACAGGAAATTCCCATTTTTAGACACCTAGTCTCTGGCCAAGGTATCCGAATTTTGCCCGTACGAGTGGAGGCTATTGGGAGGTTCCCCCTCCTAAGAACATTAATGCTGTGCGCAGATTTCTAGGCATGGCGGGATTCTATGGTCGATTTATTGATAGTTTCTTCCAGATCGCGGAACCACTTCACGCACTGAAGCATAAGCATGTCAGGTTTCTCTGGGGTGACCTTCAGCAGGCCGCTTTTCAACAGCTTAAGGAGGCCTTAGCAACGCCTCCTGTGTTGCAAATCCCCGACTTCTCTAAGGAATTTACCTTAATCTGCGATGCAAGTGATTGCGCTATTTCCGCGGTCCTCCAACAGAAGGGTGGCGAGGACTTGGCGCTAATTGCATATAGTAGCCTGTTGCTGTCAGCGGTGGAACGTAGGTATTCCATTCACGAGAGGGAATGTCTCGCAGTGGTTTATGGCTGCGAGAAATATCGGAGTTACCTCTAGAATAAGGAGTTTTGCCTGTTTACTGACAACCAAGCACTTTATTGGTTGCTGCGTCACGCCAAGGAGTTAGGCCGGATTGGACGATGGGTTTTGCGTCTGGCGCTTTTTAAGTTTCGAGTGAACCACATAAGTGTCAAGGCCAATGTGGTGGATGATTGCCTTACTAGACAATATGAGGAACCTCTCGAAGGAGCTACGTTTTCTGGGTTAATTTTAGGACACCTACCCGAAGCCTTCCAGTCCATCAGGGAACACCAGATGAATGACACCTTCTGTATGACTATTCATCAGAAGGTTGTCCAAGGATATCAAGCTGTGAAGAATTTCAAGTTATTAAATGGCGCGTTAGTTTATCTTCCTTCGCGAAGCCGTGGAAAGCGTTATCTTCTTCCTGAGTCATTGACACCTATGGTGTTGGAATATTTTCATAGTTCCCACTTGAGTGCGCATCTAGAAACGACTAAGAAGCTGAACCATATTAGCAAGGTATTTTACTAGCCAGACATGAGACGGAAAGTTTGCGCATTCGTGAGGCGATGTCAGGATTGCCACAGACTCAAGCCGTTTCCTTATTCCAACGTGGGCCTCCATAGTAGAGAAGTGGTAACATGCCCTCTGGAGCGTGTATTTATTGATTTCGTGGTGCCTACTGTTAGGAGTCGAGAAGGAAATATTGCCGTGCTGGTGGTGTTTGATGATTTCTCGAAGTTTGTTTGCATTTACCCTGTTAGGAGAATTTCGTCAGAGGTCGTGAAGAACTGCCTAGTGGAGAAGTTATTTCCATCATTTGGAGTGCCACAGTCAATTGTATCGGACAATGCTGCTGTATTTAAATCGAGTAGATTCTATAACTTGTGTTTTTCCTGGGGAATTCGACATATTACCACCTCTCGCTATTATCCCCAGGCGTCGCAAGTTGAACGTTTCAACCGCAACTTGAAGGTGGCCCTGGTTATCTGTCATAACTTTCAACACACTCATTGGGACGAACAACTTTCGTCGCTAGCTCTAGCCTTTAACTCAGCATGGCACGAGTCGACTGCAGGGACTCCAGTCTCTCTGTTTCTGGGTCGGGAATTGAACCATCCCCTGGGGCCTAAACGGAAATTGTTCCAACTTGAGCTAGACAAGGATGCTAAGAATATGGGGGAATTCTGGGAGACGACCTTGGGAAATCTGAGGAAGGCCCGCGCCAAGGTTGCTGGTAGAAATGATGCAGGGAGAAGGCGAGCAGAGTTTCGTGTGGGCGAGTTGGTCCTAGTAAGAGTGCACCCGTTGAGCTCAAAGTCCCGGCAGCGTTACGCCAAGTTACACTATAAGTGATCTACGATCTCGTATACCACTAAAGATTGTGAGATGAGTCTCCTGTAACAGTTCAGTTGGCAAATCCAGATACTGGTGTAATCATTTGAAAGGCACATGTATCTCAATTGAAGAGACATTTGTCGGTAGAGTGATCATATTGTTTATATTATTGGTTTTTTCAGTTGAGTTGTATGTTATTCAGGTCTTGCTAAATGATATAATTATGTGGTATTAAGTTCTACTCTTCTTTCCGAGCAGGAGGTTACCCTAGTCCCCTAACTACCCCTGTCCTAGGCAGGATGGGAATGGCGATCTTCGGAAGAATCCCCCCCCCGGAGCGTCACCAGTATCGCCAGCTTGTAAGCCGCGTCGCCTCGCATCGAAGTGAAAGCTCTCCCGGCTCCGGCGCTGTTGTCCGTCTGGGCCCTTTTATCGGAGAGCGGCAGGGGCTATTGAAGACTAAAATATCTCGTCGGTCAACCATGGATGGCCCGGAAATTTGTGGGTGAAGGACGCGTGTGCAACCAACGCCAACGCCGAGTGCACGGTTGGGAGTTATGTGCGGCCAACACTCTGGACTCCTTGCCACCGAAAGGTATCATGCATGATGCTGGCTAAGTGAAGGGTGTGAGGAGTGAGTAGGACCGCCAGGAGCCATGTACGGAAAAGGGACTCCTATCTCTAGTACGTGTCCTCGGTATGTTTCTGGCTGAAACTGGGTGAACTGTGTAATGATGTGTGTATGAGTATGGGAACTCTTGTGGAGCTGCTATGTGGAGACATTCTATGAGAGTGCTCTTCGGTGAAGCAGGGGATAGTGAGCCGTGCTGAAAGTCGGCTCACTCTCGGCGCGACGTCATGACCGCTGCCATTCCCGGAGTCGATCCCCACCCCTAATAATGTTGACGTCCTACCCTCGTCACGTCACCCCATTCCAACTCCTAGTCTCGGAACGAGGAGAGACTTACTGTGCAGTCTGTCGGACGACGTTGAACGGTGGAGACGATTACCAGCTAGCAGGGATCATTGTTGGAAATTCCGTTTCAGCTGGGTTACTTCAAAATTTGGTTTGGTATCTGGCTGGCTGGTAAAGTAAGGCTGCCCGCATCGCAAGCCGTTGGGTAGGACAGTTGCGATGCGTGTTATCTTTTTCTATTTACCTGCATCTGTATTATTTGTATGTGTTAGGGGGTAACCCATTCAAAGCCCAAGGGAAGTTGGAAACTGGGGAGAGTTGGTTTATTTTGCGTCGCAAGTTCTGGCGACGAGAGATTGCTTAGCAATCGTGTATTGGATTGTTGTACCCCGTGTTCTGCAGGATTATGTGGTTCATTGTTATGTCTGTACTTTATTTATTCTGTCATTAAATTTTCAATATTGTTATCTGAGGCCAACATATCACTGTAGATCCTTCACATAGCTTGGATACCCCACGTCTATTTCGGGGAGCGTGCGAACACAGCAATAGAGCCAGCGACGATGGGCTGCTTCTTCCCTCTTCACGGCTCTCGTATGAGTAGCATTTGAGAGAAGAAGCGGAAGGGGGCGGTTCAAATGGAAACTGGGTCGAGTTCTGGAGATGACAGTCAATGGTGATTGAAAAGAAATGGCAAGGAAGGAATTAGAATGTGACAAGAGGACTTCGCGTGTGATTTGAAGTTACAGTGAGACTGTGATAAATCCGTTGCCAGGATACGGCTGTGAAGGCTGAGAATTCTAGTGCGTATGGAAACAGAAAACTGAATGTGTGTAGAACAGCGATAGCGCTGTATTGCCTGTAGTCCCAAGTTGTGTGAATAAGGTGTTAATTAATCCATCCAATCCAAAAACCCGTCTTATTAGTCACACACAAACCCCTACACGTGGCAATATTAACTAAATTTTATAAAACGTTAAACTTAAATATCCTACAGAAAACTTACTTCACTGTTTGAGACCTTTCAAATCCTGTCATTATTCAAATATGCGTTACAGCTGACTGGCAATTTTACTGGGCATCTTCTTCTAGTATCATCACTGCAGATAATCCAGGTACTAATATTCATATGAGAAAGTAATAAAACAACAAGTTCTGAGAAGACCTAATCAACTACTTTCCTTTTATAACAATCTGAATATTTTATACAAGTAGAAAGAACCTCAAGTATGTATGCATAATGATGGCAATAAAAACAACTGGAGATGTTTCAATTATGGTATTATTGATCTGAAGACTTGAAAATAAGCTGTTGAGACTGTTTTAGGTGTCATGATATACATACCAAGTTCATGACGATCGGTTCTGGTATTCGAAGTCATATTAAGCTTATTACCTCAACAATTTTAAATGTTGCAGTGTTGGTATCACTAATGGGAAGGATTTATGAAGTACTCGTACGTTGTTCAAACCGTACCAGGTGGTATGATATACATACTAAATTTCATGAGTAACAGTTCAGCCATTCACGTAATATGAAGGTTATTATCTCACCAATACGAGAGGTTACAATGTTGGTATTATCGATGGGAAAGATTCATGTTAAGTCGTTGAGACTGTCTCAAAGATCTGTTCGGACGTTCAAGAGTGGTTTGGGGGAACTCAGAGACAGAAATGTGATCTCAAAAGCCTACATTTATTTCTTCAAAACACGGAAAATAGGCCAAAACTATCACAGAAGCTGAAGGAGACTTAACATATGAAATCCAGTGGCTGACACTTGTGAACGCTAGAATGACCATTCGGATTCAATAAAATTTCGGGGAATACCTTATAGCCGAATGCTCTTTTTAATAATATACTTAACGAAATTTATGTATACAATTAATTTTATGATAACCAGTGTATTTTTATTAAGGTTTAATCAATTGTGATTTTGTAAATTTACGTATATTATTACGCGTTATATTGCGCTATGAACTACCCCGTAGAAGATGACGCAATGTGGCGTGACTTGAGGAGTTTTATAATTCCGGAGTTATCCTGTTGCTAGCTTCATAACCAGTTAGCTAGGGACTTTCCAGCTGTACAGTCAATCAGAATTGCTAGTTACCCAGTGTGACGACATACTACTAGCAATAGCTTGATATCCTAGGCAGCGCTTTGTTTCAAACAGACTTGTCCTGGCTCTCAAATAAGTAAGACGTGCGGGACGCGTGTCGCCCATAACAAAGGGCTATACCCAGTAAAAGTTTAGATACAATTCAACCTTGTGGCGTATGTATTATAATAAAGTGTCAAGGGTTTGTGCGATTGTTGTCTTTGGTTTGTGGACTCTGTTGTTGGAGCCAAGGCCCACTTAACGACCATGTGAAAGATCTTGTGTTCACCGATGTGTGAGCTGGTGCCCAATACTTCGAAGTCATTGTTACACGACTTATTGAGAGCAACTACGTCCATTTTAACCCAACTCTGTGAGTGGAGTGGAGTGGAGTGGAGTGGAGTGGAGTGGAGTGGAGTGGAGTGGAGTGGAGTGAAGTGAGTGTAAGGTGAGTGAGGGGGAAGTGTGGTTACAACCTTAACTAGCTAAGCGACTATCGTGCTACTTAAAACGAACGTTTTTCCATGAAGTCAGCTGTTACAGTGTTACAGTGCAATTCGATAGAAAAGCACCCAACAAACTGGTCTGGATTATGTATTCGGAAGGTGCTCTGTTCGCACGGCTATCTTGTCTGAGGGTTTTCATAGTCTTCCTCAGTCCATCCAGCAAAATTACAAGATGTTATCTTCATTATGACACTACCATTTCCTTCTAAATCCTTTCCAGTTCACCACCATTCATTTATGATCCTACCATGCGAAGCTGTACAGTCTCATTACTGAATACCGTTCGAAAGAAGAAAGCAGACGAGCTACACAACCGCGCCCTGTGCGCGTCCTAAAGCTGTCCTTACGAGGATCTCTCCCAGTTCCCTCAGGGCGAATATCAGAACTGCAGTGCAAGCTACTCCTTATAACAGAATTCCGAGTGATTTCATAATTTCTCCGCTTAAGATTTCAGGAAAACACGGCATGTAATCATGTAAGCTTACATCCAGACTTTTGAATTGTGCAGCGTATCCTCCCGGTACTCAACGCCAAGCGGATGTCTACGGTGTCCAGTCTGTATTTTATTTACAGAGCCGGGATGGGTCAGTCCGTATAGCGACTGGCTGGACGGCTGGGCTTCAATTCCCGGTAGGTGCAAGGGATGTTTCTCTACTCCACGGTGACCAGACCAGTTCTGCGACCCACCAAACATCCGCTCTTTTCCCGGGAGCAGAGAGCCCGCAGAACGAAGTCGGCCACTCGCCTCCACCTGGTGCCGAGGTCAAGACTGGTGGAGACATACATCCATTCCTCAGTATGTAAAGAAAAAAGTAAAGCTAACCCCGTACCAGGCCGTGAAGGCCCATAAGGTTGTGAGACGTTGAGGGTCCCACATTGTCTAGACAATCGGCTCAAAGATGGCGGTAAGGTTGTCAGCCCTACACGCCGGCCGTGCTTTACTCCCCAGGAAAATTATTTAATTAATTCCTGGTACTCATTTCTGTTAGAGGCTGAGTAAAACCCAGGGCTTAGTGCGGCTGGAAGGATTAGGTCAACTGAAAAAAATCCAATGACCTCATCGGGACTTGAACCCGCGACCTTCCGGCTTGTAGCATAGCTCCTCAACCACTACGCTACCAAGGTACAGGGCTTAATTAGTTAGCACAGGGAAAGCTTTACCTTTACTTATGTACATCGTATAGCCCATTTAAAGACGCTATAAGCAACTGGGACTGTATCGCATCGAATGAATGAATGATTTTTAAAACAAAGGTAAAACTATCAGTGTAAGATGCCATGGAGGCCCATAAAGTTTTCAGACGTCGAGGCTACCATATTTTCTAGACAGTCGACTCGCAAAGATGGCGGCGAGGATGTCAGCCTTACGCACCGGCCACTCTTTACCCCCAGATTCCTGGTACTCATTTCTGTTACAGGCTGAGTTGACCCCAGGGCCATAGTGCGCCTGGAAGGATTACACCAATTGAGAAACAAAAGTATCTCATGGGGAATC